TCTAGGTTAAGTACAATGTCCTGATGGGTCTAATGGGCCGGTATAAGAGTCCATATATGATATGTGTTATAACACTCCCCCTTGGACGAGTGAACCGGGTCAGCTACTCAATCGGGATCTCGATAATGCGCTGGGGAATGTTGCCTCATTAAAACCTTACCAGGAAAAACCCAGTGGGACAAAACCATGGTGAAGGAAAAAGAGTACAACACGCATTACTCCCCCTGATTGTAGCATCACTGCAGATCTCTAAGTCTATACATTCCTATCTGTTTGACGAGCTTCCGGTGTGTTGAAGTAGGCAATGATTTGGTGAAGAGGTCAGCTGAATTCTCACTGGATCGGACCTGCTGAACGCTGAGAGTGCCGTCCTTCTGCCAGTCTGAGGTTGAGAAGAACTTCGGTAGAATGTGCTTCGTCCGATCTCCTTTGATATATCCTTCCTTGAGCTGAGCTATGCATGACGCGTTGTCTTCATACATCACCGTGGGCTGTGTGTCTTCGTCCATACCACAATCTCTGCGGATGTGTTGAGTCATGGAGCGCAGCCAGACGCATTCCCTACTAGCCTCATGAATGGCTAGGATTTCAGCATGGTTTGATGAAGTGGCAGTGAGTGTCTGCTTCATTGATCTCCAAGAGATGGCTGTTCCTCCATGCGTAAAAACGTAGCCAGTTTGAGACTTGGCAGTGTGCGGATCTGATAGATATCCTGCATCGGCGAAGCCGACTAACCCATCTTTATTTTGGTTAGTATAGAAGAGTCCTAAGTTTTGAGTACCTCGAAGGTATCTTAGGAGATGTTTTATACCGTTCCAGTGCCTCTGAGTTGGAGATGAACTATATCGAGCGAGGAGGTTCACGGTGAAACATATGTCTGGTCTAGTGTGACTAGCCAGGTACATTAACGCTCCTACAGCACTGAGGTATGGCTTTTCAGGACCAAGGATTTCTTCATCATCCTTTTTGGGACCAAGAGGGTCATCACTTAAGCTTCTAACTACCATTGGGCTGGTCAATGGGTGAGCTTGGTCCATATTAAATCGCTTGAGTACCTTTTCGATATAAGCCGATTGATGCACAAGGATTCCTCCTTTGATGTACTCAAGTTGTAATCCCAAACAGTACTTTGTTTTGCCTAGGTCTTTCATTTCGAATTCTGCTTTTAAGCAGTCGACTGTTTGGGAGATCTCACCAGATGTTCCGAGGATGTTTAGATCATCCACGTATACTGCTATGATTACAAATCCTTTGTTTGAGTACTTCTTGAGGAAGATGCATGGACTGATGGGGTCATTTTTGTAGCCTTCATTGAAGAGGTAATCGATAAATGGGGATGTTCCACATACGACCAAGATGGTGGAAAAACATTAGTAATATTTGAGAAACCAACAGATAAAAGCCGTCCAGGATCAATTCGATCCGAGAGGAGATAGGGAAGACGACTAGGTATGATATTTT